AAGTTCATGATTTTCTTGATTTCTATGCTCAGTAAACTAGAACTTTTCTATAAGTTTCAAAACACCTTTCTCTCTTTTTCTAGCAATTTCTTTAATTAAATCAAAAGAATTAATATTTTCAGCTATTTTAAGTGGCCTTCTTCAGGTTAAGCATAATTGGAACGTCAGTTAGACTATTCTAACTGACGTTCCAAAACAAAAGAGAGAAAGGTGTTTTGAAAATTATTACTTGATTTCAAAATACTTATTTAAGATATACAATGTCAATTAGAGAATAGTTTTAAAATCCTCCATAGGATCTCTTTTTAATTGATTATAACTAAATTCATTAAATTCAGCGTCTTATTTAAAATTTCAAAAAAGTCAAAAAAATTTGAAAATTTATATACTTTCTAATATTAATGATTTAAACATGGTTTTGAATTTTTTTGTATANTTGAAAGATAGGTTATATATAATTGAATACATTTCTTTTAAATAAGAGGATAAGGTTTGATTTTTTAAGCTAAATTTTTATAAATTTAATTTTTTTTTTTAGAAATTGAAAACCTTTTTAATTTTTTTCAACATGTTAACATTTTCTTAATTAATTGTTCCATTTTTAAATTACCAAATGCTTTATGCAGATTTATTCTGAATTCATATGAATTTTATTTTATTTATAATTATTATGGTATAGTATTTCTAAGGTGAGGAAAGCTCCTGATGACAGGACTGTTATTTGAAGAATAGATATTTCTATTATTATTTTAGAAAGTATAGTTTACATCGTATTTATTAAATCTGAAATCTTTTTTTCTAAAACTGAAAAATTTATCAGTTCTTAGATTTTTCTATAGTGTGTATAGAGATATAAACATACAGTAGTTTACAGTTGACCTCCCTGTAACACGGTAGATACGTTTCGTTCTTTATGAAATTGATGTTCTAAGAGTCCTTGAATACATGAGCCAATCACAGCCAGGCACGTACAGTAATACCTCGACTTACGCGATTTTCAAATCTCGTCGATTTGTCTTTTGTTTGAGCGCCATGCAACTCTTGATCACTCATTCCCCCCCCCCACACTATTGTTCGGCTTACATGTTCGGACGTGTCGCGCGGAATCGACACATAGCTACAATTTATTTTGTGTTATTTATTTCTGTGTTTGTTATATCTACGGAGACTTGAGAGACTCTACTATGTCATCCAAATGAAGTAGAACTGATTTTTCTGCATCAAACAAGAAAAGAAAAACTTTATCTTTGGAATGTAAAGTTTAGCATTATTAAAGATTTCGATACAAAAATGAAAATTTGTGAATTGGCAAGGAGTTTGATCTATTGGAATCGACGGTCAGAACAATTATAAAAGGTAAAGAAAAAATTCTTGAAGCTGTAAAAAATGCTCAATCTTTAAATTCAAGCATCACTCGTAAATGTCACGATATTATCCCTGAGATGGAAACAATGTTAAAATTATGTTCTGATAATCGAATAAATGTGAAAAATTGTATAATAATATAATTTGTTATACATATGTATTATCTAAGATTTTATTAAACATTTTTTTCTAAATTATTGTTTTCTTTAGTCTCCGGCCCCAATTAAAAATTATTTGTATGTATTTATATGCNTAAAGAAATCATTATCAAAAGTATTTTTAAAGAAACAAATTAAACTTTATAGAAATAAAACGTTTTAAAATTAATTTCTATTTTGAATTGCTTCGAATATAATAAACTACGTCATCCAACACACGTGACAGACTGCGGATAAATCATTAAGTAAATTTTATGAACTTCCACTTGTTATCACTACTGACGTAATAGCAAGAATAATGCTATTGTGTAATGAAACAGCTCTTTTATAATTAGAGGTAAGTATAAACGAGTCTGTACATGCTCAAACACAAGCTGAAGCAGCGCTCTACTCGCGTGCTAATGCTATTCTCTTCAGAGAAGACGTGGATTGTTTTAATATTTAAAAAGTAAAAAATATTTTATATTATTTTTTTGTACGTAATTTCCAAAACACGTATAATTTTTTGGAAATAATCCGTTTAAACTATGCTATAAACAAAAAATTGTAGGATTACTTACCGAGTGTGCACCGTTCGACGACGCCATTGCTTAATTAAGCTTGTTTTCGTCGCGGAGCAGCGCACCAAACGGCGGGCGCATTTTCTGATAAGCGAATTTTTCTGCGAAAAATTCGCTTAACTTTGAAGACATCATAAATAGAAATAATTTTTATGGCCGTTGAATAAGAAATGTTTTTTTCACAAGAAATGTATAAAATGTAAAAGAGTACTGTATTAGGCTTACAGTACCTAATTTATATACTGTACAGACTATAGTAAACCCAACTTACCTGCCTAAACTCTCCGTAGCGTGTAAGTAGTTCGTCAGCTGCTCGTCCACTATTGGTCCAAATTCGGCCAATCCTGTTGCAACACGAGTCAGCGATGACGTTTTACTGAATTATACAAGTTTTTTTAGCATGTTTTACAAGTACGGTCGCAATTTTTTCGCCGTGATATAGGAATCCGAATTATAGGAACTCGTGTTATAGGGGGTCGACTGTATATTAAATTTTTTTTTTGTGCTGTTCATTATGTCAGTCTGATGACATAAAAAATGTTTAGCTGTTACATCTAAACAGCAAATTTATTTATTTGAGTATATAACAAATATTCAAATTTGAAAATTGAAAAAATAGCTATTTTAATTAGAATGAAATATTGCACATATCAATATCAGACAATAAATTTTATTTAAAATAAACATGTTGCATTATGATAATATTTTTAGAGCATCTTTGGTCAAAATAATAATTGAAAATATACCATAAATACATTACAGATCAAAAGTATTTTTTATTTTAAATTGAATTATTGTTTTGTATCAGTTATACATATAAAAATGTATGTGTTAATTCATTAATCTTAATCAAATCTAAATAATTAAATTTTAATCAGGAAAACCTTGCAGAATTATAAATCTGATTTACAAAAACTTGAAGTCAGTAGAATTGATTAAATATGAGCAATAAAAGTAATCATTTTCATTACTTAAAATATTTATAAACTATATATTATTTATATAACTAAGAAGCTATATACAATTAAATCAGTTATCATAACACTGAAAAAATGTATTCTCAAATTTAAAAAATAATTTTGTTTTTAGTGACTTTATGCAAAAATTAAAGATAAAATATAAACAAAAATTAATCATATTAGTAAATTTGGAAAAGATTTAAAATAATTTAGGCTATCTGATGTTTTACACATTCAGATAGCTATAGAAAAATCATTCCTATTGATACAATATTGGAACATTAAAGATAGTTAGCATTTGATAGTGTTTTTGACAGTTTTAATGATTTTGGGCTGCATGTTAGCTATTGGATCTGGGAATATGTGTATTCTTAATGAGGCTATAATAGCAGAAGAGTGAGGGAATTTTAGAATAATTTTTGATTCCAACAATCAGAGATCACTTTGGTGATGCTGGTGTTGTTTTTCAGGATGATACCATATAGCCAAATGAATTAAAGAATTTTTAAAATATAGGGGTGTTAAAACATCAACCTGGCCTGCAAATAGCTTAGATTTAAACCGTATTGAAAATTTATCCACAAAGGTAAAAACGCTGGTTGATGAAAGGGCAATAGCTAATAAGATGAACCTAAAGAAGCCATTAAAATTAGCTTCAGAAAATATAAATATGAAATAATTCAATGAAATAATTTTGCTAATGTCAATATGCATAGAAGTTGTAATAAGATCAAGAGGAGGACCAACCAGGACCAGATTTGAGGCAATTGGATCGATATGCACCAATCAGGCCCCGTAGCACATCAAAATTTATGTATTTAAAAATAGTTTCAAATTACAGAATAGATTAAACAGTTTAGTGATCATGTCGATTGAGAGTCAAGAAGCAAACCAGTTGGATTTTGATATTATTTTAGAAGATTTTACAGAACAAAAATTTCGGAACATATAAAACATCTCTCTATAATTCAGCAAAATATATTCAACAAAATTCAGTTATATTCATTCATCAACACATCAGAAGATTTTTCATGGCAAAAATTTATGTAGTTATATTCATTTAAAAATATAGAAATACTAAAACATATCTATGTATGTTTATATTCAATAAAATGTTGTTGTTTTTATATTTGGTACAGGTTTTTTAATGTAGAAATTTGTCTACCTTATGGTTCATGACTTTTGATTTTTATAATTGGATTTTGTTTTAAATATTTATTTAAAACAAAATCTATATTTTATATAATTAAAATCTATATTTCAATATGTAAATTAACTGTTAATTCATTTTGTTATTTGAGGGGCCCCGCAAAAAAATTCAATCAGGCCTCACACCTATTGCATTCAGCCCTGGGACCAACAAAATATTAACTTCTATTATTATGTTTGTAATTCTTTTTATTATTATTGTTATTCAAATACATTTTTCAACTTCCTGTATGTACAAAAACTTTTTCCAACACAGCTTTACATATAAGTATTTTCTTGAGAAAATGGTTTGGTTTATTTATTTCAAATTAAGCTTAATAACCTAATGAATAAAATGTATATTTTTGTTTTGATCATTACAGTGTTATTTTCTTATATCATCATGTTTAAATACTTTTTGCCAGGATTGTATAAATGAGCATAAATTCTTATATATTCTTTGGATTAATTGAAGTTGATGAACTATAATAAATAAAGAATAACTTTTATTATTACAAATTTTATAATAAATATGAAAAAAAAATTAAAATTAAGTTTTGGCAACTTAGCTAATGAAATTAAATAATTTTGTTTTCTTTTGTTGACTATTATTATACTTTTAACATAAAAAATTAATGTAAATAACTAAAAAATGTCTTCAATTCTTTTTAGAAATTTATAATATAAAAAGAAAATGAATGAATATTTAAAATATAAAGCAAATACATTAAATTATACTAAATGATTTTTATATATGCTGTGCTGTATTTTTCTTGCTAACAATTAATTTTTATTTTAGGAAATGTGTGCAAATTTTGAGTTCTGGATGAAATGGTATGGAAAAACATATGGAGAATTTAAGTTAATCAAAGGTGATTTTTTGGCTGAAGAGCACAGAGAAATTGTCATGAATTCATCGTAAGATTTTTGCTTTTTAAAAATTTTCTTGTAATTGAATATTGCATTGAGGATTTTAAATGTTGATGATGATATTAATTTATAAATATAGGATAGTATTTGTCAACAATTTTGCTTTTGGACCAACAGTTGATCATATGGTAAGATACTATATATTATTAGAAGCATTAATACTTTTAACAAATTTCTAGTCTTAAGAATATTTCACATTTAAAATAAAAATTTGTAAAAATTTAAAATTTATTTGCAATTTCTTTATTTTTGATAAACTGAAGATATTGAAATGTATGTTCTGTACATTAAGAAAACTTTCTTAATGTTCAGAACTAATGAATAAATATAAATAACAAATATTTAGATATTGTAGAAGGAATGTAGACTAAGGAATAGAATTATAATAAAATTGTCCTACTAAAAATATTCTGTTAATTTGATAGTAATTAATAGCAGCAGATAATAATAGTTTGAAATACCAACTGCTACTATTTCAAAATGATAAAATATTGAAGTAATTTTTAAATAATTTCAAATTACCAAGCTATATGCAGTAATATCAACTGACATTATGTATTCAGACTTTAAAAGTATAAAGAGATTTTGATATCATATATACACAATAATTTATATTATTCTACTGTTTGACAATTCTCTGAAGCAAAGTAACTAAAAGAGTTGTGCATGACATGTTATTTAACATCATTCTCTGCCAATTAATATGAATCAACGTCATTTGATATCATTTACCATTAGGAAACAATTTCAAATATTTCTATGAAAAACTGTGTATATGAAATAGTTAATCTGAGTCTAATAATCAATAATTTGATGATTAATCATATTGCATTTTCAGAAATAAACTTCATTATCAAGTCTGTAATGAAATTATATATTTGATTTGTTTTAGTGTCACAAACTATATAACCAAAAATTTCTTTGGCATGACAGGAAAAAAAATCTTTATGCACTGATTAACTCATAGTGTTTAGTGATTTTTGTAAATTTGACAACAGCCATATCTATTTTTGTAATATAGTAACCTGTCTGCTATGAATGTGTAGAATTATTTTATATTTAAACTGAACATTTACACTTTCTGTTTCTTTGGTTACAAGAAAGCAGAAAGTGTAAATATTAAAATCTTTGAAAAGTTAAACTTGTTAATAAATATTCAGTTTTCTTGTGAATATAATAATAATATATTGTTTAAAAAATTATTTTTCTAAGGACAAATTAGAATTATGATAAATGTTATATTTAATTTTGAGTTAAAGATATTAAAAGTTTCACTTGATTTATATGAGAATCTTAATATATAAACATAGAATTAAAATAATGAAAATAAAAGAAAATGTAACAAGGATAATAAGAGAAACTTGTAACAAATCCTTGATTCATTATATACATAGTATATGTAATAGCATATTCTATTTTTTTAGAAGTAAATTCAGATGCAAAATATTGCTAAGTATATTGATATATGAGATTTTTTAAGAAAAGAAAGTTAGATGAAACATAACAGTATTTCAGACAGAAAGTAAAGAAGTTACAATTGGAATTAAAACCATTATCTTTTTTCAAAGATAAAACCAGTGTAGAGTAGAATCAATGTTTGTAAAAGCAATCAGATGAGAGACTAGAAAACTTTGGAAAGCAGAAAATTTCTAACATAACACTCATGTCAAGAATATAAAACAGGAAAGATGTTTACAGACTTTTGATAAATAAGTTTAGTTAGTAGGAATTAAAAGTTTCTATGGGGAAAAGTTTGTTGCTTTGAACTTTGAGTGAAACTTGTTCTTTTATTTTTATCACATCTGGATGAAAATTTTTTATAAAGAGTATGGAGTTACAAAGAATATAAGTGCATTTGAACTTTTCTTTCTCAAAATGATGATGAAAAGGATTTTTTAGTTTAAGGTATTTTAAATTTCTTCAGTTATTTAAAGTAAAACCATTAGAATTTTTTATATTTTAGAAAGAACTATCAAGTTAGAACAGATCATTAACAAAAAATTTTCCTTTAATTAATTTAGAACTACAAAAATTTTCATTTAATACAATACTGAATTTCAAATATAATTTTATAATTATTTTAAAAGCTTATAGTACAAAATTAATATTTATTCAATCAAATGAATTGTTAAAATGAAAAGAAAAAAATCTAAAGATACAGAATTAGTCTTTTAAAAAGGTTAAGATTCTAGTTTTTGGAAATAAATTCATATGATTTTAATTTTTGATATTCAATAGAATTAGATCAATACATTTACTTATTTATATAACTATACAACAGTGGTTCTTCATACATTATAACAAACCTTTTGTATTAATATTTATTGATTAACTGCTATTAAAGTTGTTGTTATATTCAGAAATTCTATTGTAATTTTCATTGTTGGAAGATAGGTTATATATAATTGAATACATTTCTTTTAAATAAGAGGATAAGGTTTGATTTTTTAAGCTAAATTTTTATAAATTTAATTTTTTTTTTAAGNAAAACTTAGTAGATTTCAAATCAAAATTTAAGTTTATTATAATATTTATATTTAATCTTAATTATTAAAAATTTTACATTTCAGTTGAAAATGAGATTTGCAGACATGAAAGATAGTGCTAGAATTGTTTCATCAAAAGCGTTCTGTCCTTTAAATTTCAGAATTACTGACAGAAATCTTAGTGGTTAGTATTTTATATTTGTAAAATTATTGAGAAATTTAAATTTTAACCAAATGTTCATTTTCTCTAGATATTGGGACAATTATGCATGTAAAAGAAATTACACCATTAAAAGGATCAGTATCTTGGACTGGAAAACCAGTGTCCTATTATTTGCATAGGATAGATAGAACAAAGGTAAATGTAGGAAAATGTCATTGTTTATAATTTAATAATATATCTTATGTCTGAACATTTGTAGCTCTATGCAAAAATGCTTTTTATTAGCAGAATATGACTTTTCTGCAGTAACTGCATTCAAATTCAAATATTTCTTAGAAAAATATTTTAAAAGTCAATGGATAAGTGATTAATCATTAAATTTTACATAAAATAAACAAACATCTTTCTCTATTCCAGCACAACATTTAATACGTTAAAAAACGTTTTCGACCATTTTAAGCGATCTTCCTCAGTTCAAATTCAAACCATATAATAAACAAAGTATTCGAAAAATACAAAAATTCAAAGTGCTTATTCACAAGTTAACGCTAAAGCGCATGCCCGTACTCATAAAATGTATAGATTAAACCAAAATAATTAAAAATAAACCAAAAAAATTATATATCAAGTAATATTATAAACACAATTAATAATGCCGCATATGTGGTTGCAACAGTTAATCTATGTTATTATAAAAGGACTTCCAGGCTGTTGATAAACCTTCAGCATCCCTATGATTGATGCACTGTGCGATCATATGCGCCTTGTGTAATATAAAATAATAATTATAGGAATATAGGAATATAAAAATAATTTATAGGCGTAATTATACAGTGTATAAGCTTCTAAGAAACGATAAGAGAAGATATGAGCATAATAGCATGACAGGAGTCTACTCGATACCTATGAAAGACCATAGATTTAACTCTGACCTAATATATATAGGAGCAACAATGCGGAACCTGAAGAAAAGGATTGTTGAGCACAAATACTCAGTGAATAGAAGCGTTGATAGCACAGTCCTCGCAGCATTTGCGAAGCAGCAAGAAATTGCAGTATACTGGGATCAGGCAGCGATTATTAGACCTACAAGATCAATGCAAGCGGTGAAACACCTGGAAAAAGTTGAGATACACAAGGCGCATATGACCGCACAGTGCATCAATCACAGGGATGCTGAAGGCTTATCAACAGCCTGAAAGTCCTTTTATGATAACATAGATTAACTGTTGCAACTGCATAGGTGGCGTTATTAATTGTTNTTTTAAATAAAATAAACAAACATCTTTCTCTATTCCAGCACAACGTATTAAATGTTGTGCTGGAATAGAGAAAGATGTTTGTTTATTTTATTTAATTAATTACAGTAAGCATTTATTTATTTAAATTTTACAATATTTTATTATAATTTTTATGAATTTCAATTTACTAACGTTCAAGAAAATAAATTACAGGTATCCCTTGTATAACACAGTAGTTACATTCTGAAAAAGTGCCATGTTATGTGAATCCATGCTATATGGATTAAAGGCTAAATCAACACATGGGGTTAGGTTCCCAAAGTTAACAAAGTATAATATTCTTTTTCATTACTAAGAGAAATATATTTATTAAAACAATCAATAATTTATTTCCAATTCAATAATTAACTAATAATCACAATTAAAAGTACTGTATGACACATTAATATTAATTTTAGTTAAACCAGGGCATTTTCTTTTTACAAAGTATCATCAGCTTTTTTGTTGATCTTGATCAGAAATATCAGCAATGACTTCATTTTTTTTATAATTTTTTATGGGTGACAAAATAAAAATATGTTATTAATCAAAAACTTGTTCTAGAGGTTACATTTGTTCAGTTGAGTACAGAGCAATTATTTTTCCAGAATTTGTGTTGGAATACTGAATTGTTCAAGTTGAGAACAGTTTGAATATGAGATACTGCTGTATTTTACTTGTCTTTTTTTTACAAATGATTACTTACCTACGGTTAAAAAAGTTTAATGACACTTACCTAAAACTGTTTAAATAAACCCTTTTCTAAATACAAAGATTGTTCCATATGGGGAATGACAATGACACCTAGTTGATAGGAAAGCTAGGACAAGGAAGAAAAAATTCTATTATCGGTTTTCATTAAAGTGAACTTGACAAAAGGCACAAAAAGAAATTGAAAATTTCAATATTCTAAAATCTGTGAGCAAATTTGAGACAACAGACATGCTTATTTGAATAAAAAAATATTGAATAATGAAATTTACACTTAAAAACTATGAAATTTGTATGGAGGATTTCCTAAACTAGTGTTACAGCGAAACCAGAAACCATGTTATATGGGGGATATCCCCAATTTTTGAACTGTGTTAGAGTGAAATTGTATTTTAGAAGTGTTGTGTTGTATGAGAGATACCTGTATTTCCAATGCTGTGGTCCAGCTTAAAATTTATGGATTTCATTTCTTCTGCCATTTTTGACAGGTTACAGCTGGTATAATAAAGTCACCCAATATATTTTTTAGTTTTATTATTTTTATGGAAGTAAAAATTCAAAGATGTTCAATGTGCTTTTTTTGCAGAAGTAATTTATGAGGGTAATCCCAAAAGTAAGATATCCTTTTTTTTTAAAAATACAAAGAAACGTTTATTTTCAATAATTTTTACATCATTTTAAAGTTTGAACATTTATCTATTTTTCTACATAATTGCCATTTTGATTGATGCATTTTTGTAGGCACTGTGGCAGTTTTTGTAGTTTTTTGTGGCATAAACATTTCNAAAAGTAAGATATCCTTTTTTTTAAAAAATACAAAGAAACGTTTATTTTCAATAATTTTTACATCATTTTAAAGTTTGAACATTTATCTATTTTTCTACATAATTGCCATTTTGATTGATGCATTTTTGTAGGCACTGTGGCAGTTTTTGTATGCCCATGTCATACCAGCTCAGTGTCATGTCACAAGACCCATCTTGCAAACACCTTCCGATACTGCAATGTTTCCATAAAATCCTATGAATGTGCTTTGGGAAACCCCAGGAACCAAAATGCAGATATCATCCAGAATGATCCACCGATTATTATGCATGGTTTGCTGAACCTTTGTGACTGTCTCATTGGAAATTGACAGTCTTCCACTTCTTTCTTCATCGTGAATTTCAGTACAACCAGTTGCAAACTCCCTACACCACTTGCAGATGTTTTTGACATCCATGCATGACTAGCATCGATTGGCGATGAATTTCAATTCATTTAACACGACATGGCGGCAAGCTGGTATGACATGGGCATACAAAAACTTCCACAGCACTACAAAAATGCATCGATTGAAATGATGATTATGTAGAAAAATGGATTAATGTTCAAGCTTTAAAATGATGTAAAAATTATTGAAAATAANAAGAAACGTTTATTTTCAATAATTTTTACATCATTTTAAAGTTTGAACATTTATCTATTTTTCTACATAATTGCCATTTTGATTGATGCATTTTTGTAGGCACTGTGGCAGTTTTTGTAGTTTTTTGTGGCATAAACATTTCTTTGTATTTTTAAAAAAAAAAGGATATCTTACTTTTGGGATTACCCTTGTAGATTTATAAATATTTCTCACTTCAAATTACAACACATCACACTGGGAAATACTCAATGACACACATGTAACCAATAACTGTTGTGAAGCAAACAAAACACTAACAACTATCTCAAGACAAATGTTTTCGAACTCCTGAGTTCTTCATCAAGCGCTATAATGGTTACCAGATGGAACATTGTTTCGGAACATCTGTTCCATAACAACATTCCATCTGAATTTTATACACAATTAATCATTCATTAATTGTGTATAGAACTCTTTACAGCTGGCTTGGTTGTGAAAATATGAAAAAAGATAAAAGTTATTGTACTGCAATTGTGAGATAACAGTAGTTTCTTAATTGTGATGTCTTTATTATTATTTCGGCCTTTTAATATAACTTTTATGTATTTTGTATTATATGTTTAATTGAAACACCAACTGAAGAAAGACTACTTTAAACTCTGAACATTTTGGGTGTATTTTACATATTTTATACATATTTGTTTTAATAATTGTAAAATCTCTCTTTGTAATCATAAATATGTATTAAATTTAAGAAATTTTGCATATATGTTAACTGGTGTGATAAGCCCTAATATAAATAGCTGTTTTAAGTTAGTAGAAACATTTAATAAAAAATTATTTGATTTGTTAATGACTATCTAATTTGTTCTTGACTTAACTTTACAGCTAGAAAATTATTTTCTGCGATTGAAAAACCCAAAAACTAGAGTAAGTAGAGTAATTATATTTGAAAATCTACTATATATATAAATAATGTGAATAAAATAATATCAATTGGAAATAGATGGGTAAAAACAAAATTTCTTCAGTTTTAATTTTCTAATATTGTCTTATATTTAAGTACTGCTCAGATAGTAAACATATATTATATAACCTGAATTTGTATAGTAGGCATAATAATTATATTTAAACATATATTCTGTTATTTCATATTTAATCATTGTTTGATTAAAGTCTATTAAATCCAAAAAATATTATTGCTTTTTTGGAGAAAAGTGACTTCTTAGCCATAATTGTTGAAAATATTGGTAAAATGAGATTCATTCCTGAAAGTCTAGAAATGATTTCACTGTTTTGGAATATTTATAAATATTTTGATTAGAATGGAAAAAGTTACAGAATTAGTGTATATAATTATGAATAAAAATATGTATTATTCATTAAACAAAATAAATCTAAAAGTATTTAGATGGAACCATTGCCAAATTATCAGGCTATTATATGGCTAAGTTAATGATTGGAAGCTAATTAATTTGTCTACAGGTAGACAATTATGCTGCCATCTCATGTTAATTTTAATAATTATAAAAAATTTATTTTTAAGTTAGAATTTTCTGGAAAAAGAATTGGCTTGAAGCAGGGCTCAAACCTGAAACTCCTGCTTACCATATAGATGCATTGCCAGATATGCTACCCAGACTTCTCCAATAACTCTGTGACACTCAGCCAGCTATCATTTTTACCATGGTAAAAGCAATAGCTGATGAGTTACAGGCTGTGGGCACTGAAATTTTACCCAGTCAGTACTATGAGTAACCAGTATGATTATATCTAAATTATTAATTCTGGAAATGAAGATCAGACAGAGGGTTAAGTAGTTTAACTGACAATGCATCTGCACAGTAAGCAAGAGTTGCAGGTTCAAGTCCTACTTCAGGCCAATTCTTTACTTCCAGAAAATTCTAAATTAAAAATAGATCTTTTTTATAAACATTAAAAATTAACACAAGATGGCAGCATAACCGCCTGCTTCTACACAAATTAATTAGTGTAGAGTTTAGAGATGTTGATATATATTTAGATGATTCTTTATTAGTAAATATATTTGACTCATCAAATAGTGCTGCATATTTTATATGCAAATTTCACAAAACATATATATAAAAATATTGAGCACAGCACAGGAGTTTGCATTAATGCAGCTGATAATGAATACCCAAATAATGAAGATCATGTGTCATTGGACAAATATAGAAAATAAAATTTATAACTAGCAGGTATATATGGTATATGATTAAGTATTACATGATTATTAAGTGTTTTAAAAATTTAAAACACTTAATAATCATGTAATACATTTTAAAAATTAATTAATATATGAATGTAAATATTAATGTTTAAAAAGTTAACCTTTTTTTTTATACAGTAAATGAGTTTAATGAAATGATTCTGATTTATGCTGCATTGTGTATTATAAATGTGAACATGTGTATGTTCACATTTATAAAATGAAACATAAAATGTGAACATAATGTGTATTCTCTCATAGGAGGATGAAACAATAGTTACTCGTGGAAGGAGGACAACTAGAGCAAATGGTCAATTTGTTATTGATTCTTCATCTAATGATTCAAAAGAAATGAAAGAAGATGGTACAGTGTTTGGCCCCACGACTCGGAAAGCTTGGTCTGATTGGTGTAACAATAGAAGTAAACCAAGTCAGAGTAATAGTAGTGGCCATGACAGTAATGAAGAAAATGGTATGATTTATATATATATAAATTGTTTTAATTAAAATTTTATGTTAAAGTTTATTGTTTTAATATATTGTTTTTTAGATCCTACACAAACAAAATCTGAACCAATCGTACGTATGGTTCGAAGACAAAGGCAGAGAAAATTGGGTAGAAGTTCAGATCAAAAACGTGGTCCAGGAAGGCCAAAGAAAGTTGTCAGATCAAAGAAATGTCGCAAACCATTAAAATTTAATGGTCTTGATTTGCTTCATGCACAGACAATTTTAAGTACATCTAGTGCAGGTAATAAATTTGTTATATTTTATTTAGTTCAATAAAAATGAAGATCGAGAACCTTTTAAAATTAATTAAATTTTTATGAATTAATATTTATTTTAAGCTCAATTCTTAACTGGGCAACTGAAGTAACAGATTTTGCAATAATTTAGAAATAGAAAAATTATTTAGTAACTGTTATTATTAAATTTATTTCTAAATAAAATCTTATCAGATAGTTAGATAAGAATCTAGATTTTAATTCTTTCTTATTAATGATTAATGCTAACACTACACTTACACAATTCTTGTATCTTGTTCATCTTTAACTTGTTCACTTTATTTTTACATCTTGTCTTTATACTTATTTACTTACTTTTTTCCAACCTCTAACACCTAACAGTTATCATTTTTTGGCATAAGAGCCTAACTTACTATTAATATTATTACAAAGTTTATTCAGTATAAATGACTACCAAACTGAATGAGAACAAATTATATACTATCATATCTTCAAGTTATAGGAGAGTAATTTTTAATGACTACTGACGTTTTTAGTCAGATTAACTGATCTTCCTTAGGTTGTGTCAAGCAAAAATGGAATAAATTTTAAATTGTAAAACATTACAATGTGTAACATACAAAACAAAACACTAAAGCTACAAATTCAAAATTATAGCACATAAAGAAACACAGAAAGGAATATCATAAAAAACATTTTTTTAAATGTAGTAAACATGAAAATAAATAAATAAATAAAAATTACTTTGCTGGAACTTGAAGGTGTAATTGTACATAATTTATTTAGTATGTCAAATTTTTTATTAACATTTATTTAATTAATATGAATTTCTTAATTCCTTTTCAGCTGCAGTTCATTCTGAACCAGCTCCAGGATGCATTGATCAAAAGCTTGATAGTTTAAGTATTGCATCACCACCACCACCTATTCAGCCCATTAGTGAAGTTCCACCTGCATTAGCTGCCTTGCTTGAAACATATAAACATCAGTTCCTACATTTTTTAAATTATATGCAGACATCACAATATAGAAAGGAATTACAGCAAAGTATAGATCAAGAGAAAGTAAGTAGTGTTTTTTTATTGTGCAAAAACTCAAAAATTATCTTCATCAGTTTCATCAAATAATTTTAGTTTTCATTAAATTTATATTTAGACAAATTATTGACATAATTATTGGAGTGTTTAAACAAAAATACAATGTAGTAATAATAATTTTTTTTTTTATAAATTTGTTATTAGGTTTAGTTTGCTTTAATAAACAAATTCTTAAAAAATTATATGTAAACATATTTGATACTGAAATAGGAAGTAAAATTTTATTTCAAATAATTTAAATAATAAATTATTATTTTTTGTATTTCATGAAATATTTATACTTTCTCTAAAATTTAAGATAAATATTCTTTAGTATATTGAACAAAGGTTAGTTTAAGTCACTGATGACAGGATGGCATATCCCAAATTTCTTCAATATAAACAACTATTTGGGTTCCTTGTAAATTTAATATTGTTCTGAAATATATTTTTTGTTTTGAAAAGAAAATAATCTGCACTCAAAAGAAAATTAACTTGTCATAAAACAATATTATAACAACTTTATAAATTTGCTGTAAAAAAGATTGAAAGCTATCCATCTTAACAATATGAATACAGAATTCATTACTAAATAAAATTAGATAATATTGAATCAAATTTGATTAGATACCAAAATTAATAAATTATTTGGAAAATGTCTATTTTACATTTAGTTAATTAATACGAATTTCTAAAAAAATGAAATAAATATGCAATTTTTTTAAAAAAGAAGTATGATCTTTTATATTCTTTACAGGAATGTCATGCAAAATTGGTTACCAAAGCTTCACAATTGGAAAAACAGATAAAATTACTTATAGAAGATAGTGTTTCGTTATTAAAATCTCGAATGGAAGATCTGGGTGTTCATACTAATAATACAGTTGATTTTTTAAATAAAGTGAGTTATTTTTTTAACTGATATTTTGCTTGATTTCCTAGGATATAAAAGTGCATATTACTTTTTAGTATTTTCAATTCTAATAAATCATTTTTGCTTATTCAGTGAATTTTAATGAATAGCCTATTTCAAGTCTGATTCAAGATAGTGTTTTTCTTTAATGTATGAAAAATATCAATAAGAAATTTATTTGTTATTGATATTTTAAAAAAGAAGTGTAGAATAGTTAAAATTAATTCCTCGTATTTTAAAATTCATTATAAATACTAAGAATATTAAGCAAAAATACTAAGAATGTAAAATGAGAAAAAAGTATGGAATCAGACTGAAAACACACAGGTACAGTATCTACCTCAAAAACATTTTATCCTCAGAGACAATAACAAAGAGAAGAAGACATTGAGTAAATTATGTTAGTCATGGCTATTTTGCATAAATATTATTGGGTTCAAATGAACAACCAAATTAATTGGTAGTTTCTAATAGTGCTTAATGCAAACACTAATCTGGAAATAATTGTGGAATCAAGTCACAGAGTCACAATCAATAGGAAATAATGTCACCTTTGGCATGAAATACAGCTATGATGCATGCAAGTGTAAACTGTGCTAATGCCTTAAGGTAGTTTACTCAAATCTGTTGGATAAAGATCAGGGCTGTTTGGAGACCAACACGTAGTGCAGATGTGTTGTGTCTTTAGGAAGTATTTCACAAGGTGTAGTCAATGAAAGAACTCATCATCATCTTGAAATAGGACATTGTTCTCATCTTCAAACATATTTTCAATAGATGGTATGAGAAATCCATCCAGAATCTCTATATAAACAGCTGAGTCAACTTTATAATGGCCACTTCTCCTACACTGTTTTCTGACATAGTTCTACAGAATAAATCATATAGGATACTTTGAACATAGCTATAATATAACCTTCCTTGTATTGTACATTTCTATGTCTCCAGACAAACATGACCATCATTGTCGTCATATCTAGTGCATATACTTATCTCATCATTGAATATACCAGTCAGTCACATTCTTTTTTTGTCTTGCTGTTAGTGTATGCTTTGATTTTACTTTTTTTGTACTGATATTCTTTTCTTGAATTCTATTGTTGACAAATCCTTTTTAACAGTATATCTGGTTGTGCAGTTGTCTTCTGCCAAGACATTTGGCTTTAACTACTTTTCCCTTCACAATATATTTCTTCCACACTTTGGAAACAGCAGACAGTGAACAGTCACAATATACTGCCACTTCCCATATTGTTTTCTCCACCTTAATAAGCTTTATGACTCTGTTTAATATATCAATAGAGAACTATGGCTCTAAGCATGCAGACATCTAATATCATGTGAGAGTATGTTGCAATTTATATATCTGATACAGTACCCTTCACTTAAAGCTTATTTGCAAATGAAGAAAAAATGATGTTGTTACAGTATGGTGAACACTCTGTATGGGTAATTCCATATTTCTTGCTATGTAGGCAATTCTGCAATTATTTTTAGTCTAATGTTTTCAATGAACCCTATTAGTAACTTTTGGTTAATTTGGTTGTTCATTTTAATCCAATAATATGTATACAAAACAGCCATGACTAACATAATTAACTTGATGTCTTGTTTTCTTTGTTATGTCTCTGATGATAAAATATTTGAATCGGGTACCTGTGTGTTTTCAGTCTAATTCCATACTTTTTGCCAAGATGTGTATGTATGTGTATATTGCAAGTTTCAGTTTTATTTATTCTTGTCCTCATTTTAATTTCAATCACTCTGAATCTTGCTAGCAAAAGAACTTATTAAATATTAATTAGTGATTAATTTATTGAAAAAAAGCAAATGTTTTTAATCTCTTGAATGAATATTTTTAATTAATATATTTTATAAACTGAAAATTGATAAAATTCATTTGAATTTACCAAACATTAAAAATGATGGAATAAAAAGTTAATTTTGATAATTTTACATCCTGTTAAAATTAAAAATTGCTATTTGAATAACAAATATTAGCAACATCAATCATAACAACTACATTTGCTAACTATGATAGTTAGCAAATGAAGTTGTTATGTATTACTATCATCTCATAGATATGAGACATATTCAGAATAAGTAGTGACTATAATGGGTTGTGATTTTTTTTTTATGTTTTGAGGGTTGGCAACACTAAGTGTAAGAGAGAGATCTCCTAACGGAGCGAGCATTACAGGAACACAGTAATACATAAACTCACGTTGTAGTGTCCAGTTGCATGAAAAATGTCGGTAAGAAATCCCACCAAGTGCGAGCCATGTGCTGTGATCCACTTCCTACTCATGGAAGGAATAACACCTAGTGAAATTTTTTCGTGAATCAAAACGGTTTACGGTGAAGGTGTTATGAACAGAACGAGTGTGTTTAAGTGGTGTAGGAAGTTTAGTGGAGGCAGAACAAATGTTCATGACAGAGGATGGGATATTTTGAACCCCCCCCCATATTCCCAACTTGGCGCCTTCAGATTATCATCTTTTCACCTCCCTGAAGGCACACATGGGTGGAATTAAATGTTCAACCAACGAGCAGGTGCAGAAAGAGGTTCTCAAGTGGGAGAAGGAGCTGACAGGAGAGTTCTTTGAAGAAGGCATAAAGAAGCTTGTGCCACAGCTCACCACATGCATTGAATGGAATGGCAGTTATGTGGAAAAATAGTCAAGTGTATCAACAATATCCTGTAATTTTTTTCAAATACACTTTTTCTAAAAAAATATAAAAATCTAGTATACTTACTTTCTGAACATGCCTCATATACAAGAAATAAATTAAATTGTGACAAATACAAACATTTTACTTCAGAAATTAAATGTTTTAAATAGAGCATATTTAACAAGTGCTTTAATGTAATAATTGATAATTGTCATTGTGTGCAAAACACTTATTTTTCAAGTCAATTAATCAAAACTTTACCACATGCAATATCTATAGATATTAGATGTTTTGCAAATTTTGACAGCATTGAAATTAAAAATACATTCTGAAAATATAGTTGTATATATTCCATAGATTTTGATTATAAACTGGATTGGGGTCTCAAATTTAAGCAGAAAGGTTTTATAAATGACATATTAAAAGATTTGGTATAAAAAAAGAATACATTTAAATAGATTTAATTGAAGACATTTACTTTGGTTATTTGGCAGAAGCAACAGTTTTAAAATTAAAACAATTTAATGATTTACATTAAATCATTAATTTAACTTAGCATTTGTCTTTATTAAAAAATTCAAAAAATTTTAAATTAAGTACAGTTTATCATCTATTCTTTAATGATACAGTTACAGCTAAATTTAAAAATTCCTGCTGTTAGATTCTAATGCATAAAGAACATATGTTTAAGTTTCATATAAATATGTGGCATAATTTCTTAATTGCTTCAGGCAATGTACTGTACATCATATTAAAGGTTATAATCATGATACATGAAAGTGTTTTGTGGATGATCTGTCTATAGAAGGAAATTTTATAAAATATATTTAATTTACTTTTGCCATTTTTTTTACAAAACCTATTAAGTTATTCAGTTTATGTCTGAAATATTTTTTATAATGTTGTCATTTCTGACTTGCACTAGAGAATGTTGACATTCACCATGTGTAGAAGATGAACGTTGGAAAAAAGATAGATTTATAAGAAAATATATTAAAACACAAACAATATTCTTACATAAATAAAGCAAGGTAATAAACTTTTAATAAAATTTTCTAAAATAAGTTTGAGCTGAAAAGTTATCTTTGATTTTGATTATTTATTTACTTAATTTTTTAATAAAATTTTTAATTGCAAAAAAATAAACAAATATGTTTACATAAATATTAAACATGGAAATTAAGTAGCTTGAATGAAATTTAATATGCTAGATAATATTAAAACAAAAAAATTCTGTTACAAATATTCAGTTTCAATACATATTGCAACAAGGAAATATTAATACTAAAAGTAAGGTATTGACTATTCACATCAGAATTATCAGATTTCTCTTTTCAGCTTCATTGGTTGTTTTTATTAGTGTTTCTACAAACTAACTTATATTTAAAAATGAAAAACTTGATTTCAAATTTATTATGGTGTGTAGGGATTGTATACTGGTTAACCGATAAATTGACAAAAAAACATTCGGTAAATTTACCAGTAAATTTTTGAAATTTACTGGTAATTAGGTAAATGAAAAATCCATACTAGAAATTTCTATGTAGAAAATATTGTGTTTATAGATATTTAAAAGGGTTAAAGGGACATTAAAAAAAAAAAAAAACAGGTAAGTGTAAGCAACAATATACCTCATTATTAATTTTATGTGAGGTATTTTTTGTTTAATTTTAATTTAATGACCATTTGTCCAACAAGTGTTGAATCAGAAAGAGTATTCTCGGGATCTAAATTATTTTGTACAAAAATTAGATCAAAATCAGGAGATAAGACTATAAATAATTTAAGTTTCTTGAGAAGTTAATTTTAAAAAATGATAATCAATAAAATGGTATTAGGTACTTTATAGTATTTCTGTTGTATTTTTATTTTTCTGTATTATTTTATTTCTGTTTATTTCTATATTTATTATTATAGTTTGTTTAGAATAACACTTTAATTTTTATATTTTTTATATTTGATATCTTTGAAATAAAAAATGTGAAATGGAAATCATAGACTTATATTTTTTATCACCTTAATTTTATTTTTCAAGAAAAAAATTTACCAGTAAACCGGTATTTTAATTTTAATTTACCGAATTACTGGTAAATGAAAAAGTCGGTAAATTTACAATCCCTAATGGTGTGCATAATAAATTTGAAATTGCAATCCTTATTGGACTTCAAATCTATCTAACATCTTGAGTTTAATTCCAAACTATAGGTTTTACTCAATGCCTTTTTTTTAAGAGAACTTTGCTTCATTTGGCATAATTTGCATAAATTTAGATACAATGTTACAACTTGATATGTAATATTTTTGTATTTGCAATTGCTTAAGCATCTGTGTTCTTTCTCAAACAAGTCATTCTAATATAGGTTTTGGAAAACACAGGGATCATCAGAAACATATAACAGTTTTTAAAATAAAATAACATTTTATAGGAATATGTAAACATTTATTTCTTAGCAAAGATACATACCTCTTTTATAGAAGAATTAGAACAAAACACTACTAGAAAATCATATAAGTGTCCACCCTTACAATTAATTTGCTCATTTAGTCTTGCTGGAAATGACAACACAACTCATTGCAACATGTGTTTCAAAATTTCCTGAATTTGCTTGTAAATTTTGTAAGAATGGTAATCAGATCTTTGTGCAAAATTCTGCAAATGCTACTCTCTGACAAACTGAGAGTAAGCACTAGTTTCAGAGAAGATTTGCACAGACTGCAGAAAATGGCATCTCTTACATGATTCACATTTTCTGGTGTGCAAATCAAATAATGACATCCTGGAAGTTTGGTGTCCTTCACACTTCTTTCTTGATGCCATTTTGACACCTGTACCATGTAAATTGGTATTATGACTCAGTGCATCACACCTAACAAACTGTAGTCAGACACTGTGTTTAGTTGCTGTGATTGACACTTTCTTTATAAGCATCTCTACTGCCACAATGCAGTGTTGCACAGAACAGTGTTCCATCTTGACTGAACATTTTACATTCTTTAATATTTGGAGAATGTAATGTTTAGAACTATACATATAATATTTAATGAAAAAAAATGTGCGTATAAGTGGGCTCATGCAGTTCAAGCTTGTTTTGTTCAAGGATCAACTGTGTTTTATAATGACATGCTTTACTCATTATGATGGTAATAGCCCAATATAGCAACCCTTAGTACATTACACACTCAAATAAAAAGACACATTACAAGTAACCAATGAGAACTCACATATACTGTAAATGCCAAACTTGCAACAAAGAACAGCTGATGACATTCAAACAATGCACAAGCCTCAGGCAACCATTTTTCTGATTCACTAGACCCAACTATTTCTGATATTCACCACAGGTTATTGATGTATGTAGACATATACCAGAGAATGTTCAAACACTATCTACTTATATAAGCCATTGATGCCACTGTTTGTATATCTGTAATCTGTCATGGAATGCCTAGAACACACACTACGGGGCATCCGTAGCAATGATTTTCAGCTATTACTGTATTTTGACAAGTATAAGTCGCACTTTTTTTTCTACTTTTTGGGGCTCAAAATCATGGTGCGTCTTATACTCGACAGGTAACCATTTTTACAATGAAATTATCTATAGTAGTGGTCCACTCTAGGGACCAGCCTGTGCAGTGGTCCATTAAGCAGATGGTCCCTCAACCGAATGGCTAGAGTACCTAGATTATCAGAGTAGTGACATGCGAGTCATCGCCGCCATGTTCTGTCGACTGTCATCACATGACCTCTGAGTTTACATTAAGAAATGACGATTATTTCAGTTTAATAAAGGCATCAATTCATCCATCTGTCATATTCTTGAATAAAAAACCGAATAAAATGCATCTTTAGACAATCCCATTAAAAAAGTTTTTTCTAAAATTTTTGTCTCAAAATATGGATGTCTTATACTTGACAGCGACTTATACTTATCAAAATACGGTATTTAAATTAGTATAATTTATTTATAGCGGTATATATAATTATTTATACCGTGGAATGACATCGCCGCTGCTAGAACACCCACTAGAGGGCGTCCCGGGCTACTAGTAATACCAGAAATCTTTGGGACTTTTGCTGACAGATTAGTTGTATGTCAATATTTACCATTGAATGTTGCCATTCACACACTGATCTTTTACTATAATGTGTATATACATATTTATATTTAATGTAAATTTATTGTTTAATCTTTGTATCATGATATAAGTATGCAATTATAATTAATTAATTTGTGTTTGTAGGATTTGGTCACAGAAAAGAAAACCAGAGAAAGTATTTTGAGTGATATTTCAATGGCTCTCTTTTATAAGCGACAGCTCCATAACAAAATGATAAAATTGGAAAGTGAAGTAAATGCTTTAGAAAAAACTATATTTACACAGCAGAAACCAAATGGCATTTTTCACAAGTCATCAATTCTTTGTAAAGATATATTTGGTGCCAAAGAAAAGTCCTATGCTGATATTGCATTCAATGGACCAAGTATTCGTGAGAGCATTACAGTTCCTAACTTCGAAGAGAGAATTAAAAACATTATAGCAAATGCTCTAAAAGAGGATTCCTCTCCACCAAAGTTAGAGAAGCATTTAAATGGGGAAACGCAAATACCATTCTCTCCTTTACATACACCATATTGTATTAAAAAATCACCACAAGATATAGTGCCAACATCTCTAGGTTGTAGCCCTCCAGCACCAATTTTGAGTCCTAAGGGTATACTTCCTGAGCCATCATCTGTTTCTGAACAACAAAAACAATCTCAAGTGTACTTTAATCATATTTCATCATCTGATGCAACATCACAAATTAAAATAGAAGAACCAAAATTCAATAATTTCTCTTCATTCATAAGATCAAACAAATTATGGGATATGGAAAAAAATGGAATTAACCAGAATCTCAGTTATAATTCCATATCCCATAATATGAATTCTCATATTAATGGATCTTCAAATATCTTAGTGTGCAATAATGACAATATTACTCTAAGAGAAGATATGAAATCTATGGAAAATGCATCAAAAACAGATGTTATTCCAGATCCTCTTCCAATTGCTTATTCTCCTATTAGTCCTAGCAGAACTCCAATATCATCAGAAAATCTAGAAGATACAATGTATTCTGCTGTCTCTCCTCCACCACCTTCACTTGGTAAAATTGACTTATTTTCTCCGTCAGATCGCTATCAGTCATGTATTGATAGTGGTTTGGGTACAACTGATAATAGTACTCACACACAGTATCATTCAAGTAATATCTGCAATAATAGCAGCAGTGAAGACCATATGAAGTTTATGGATATACCAAATTCAGTCAAAAAATCTGCAACAAAGATTTTCTCAAATGATAGAGATCCATCTCCTCCCATTTTATGCAAAGCAGATGGTGGTGGTGATACTTCTAGGGAACAAGAGAAAGAAAGAAAGAATTCTAAAAGCAGGCCACAAAGATCATCATCTGGCAGCTGTTCATCTACTTCACCAATGAGTGGTCATGATAGAACAGATAGCCCAAAACTTGGAAATGGTCTAATTCTTCACCTCGGCAATCTTCTTGCATCCGCAGCAAGAAATGGAAGCTTGAAACGTGAAGATGGAAAAATTAAAAAATTGAAAAGAAAGCATTCATCATCTCATAGTAGAGATGATTATTCACGCTCAAAAAAATCAATTGGACTCTTTGAAGTGGGAAATGGTAGTAGTACAGACAGTTCTCCATCCTTTAAAAAATCATCTGAATCAAATCATATTTTATATTCATATCAGAAGATTTCACCAAATATAGATGGTGTTGTGAAAGAAAATGGCCTCAAAGTAAAAGTAAGAAATCGCAGCAGTTTGAGAAAATCAGAAGGTGTGTATTTTTTTTTTTTTTTTCCTTCTTCTTCTTCTTCTTTATCTTCTTTATTATATATCTTATATATTTAAAAATCCAGCTGGTTAATATTTTAACTTTTAAATAAATGAACAAATGACTGTTAATTTTAGAAGGCCAACTTTAATAATTATAAGAAATGTTTTTAGTCAAAATTTAACCATTCTCCGAGAATGGTTAAATTTTGACTGAAAACATTTCTTATAATTAATAAAGTTGGCTTCCTAAACTTATCAGTCATTTATTTATTTATTTACAAAGATGGTGCCAAATTTTTAAACTTTTATAATTAACTCAAAACACACCTGAAACCA